GTGTGTCGGCTACGAGGTTAATTGTGGACTGGTGGGAAAAATGCATCCCAACTTGTGTTTACGCTGATGCTAACGGCTCCGTGGAGACTCGTTACTCAGCCTAAAACAACAAGCCAGTTGTTCCGTGTAACTCTAAGTATATGTAAATGTGTCCTTTTTATGATAGCACACACACACACACACACACACACACACACACGCACGCACTCACGCACGCACGCACACACACACACACACACACACACGTCTCTGTATCCTCGTGTGTACCCTCCATTAATCTCTAAATTTTTTGGGACTCCACTATGCCTAATCCTAACCAAAGTTTTTTTGTTCCTAATCCTAATCTAAACCAAAAGTTAATTCACACCATACATCTAAAACCATGTTTAAGGGTTTTTTGTCAGATGTCCCCACAATGTGGAAATGTCCACACACTACAGGTTAGAAGTTAAAATCTGTCCACTTAAGCAAATAAAGACAAGAGAGAACCCGACGTCATCATGGTTCCTCAGGGAATCAAGTTTGAGTGTGTGTGCTAGGATTTAAGAGCATGTATTCATCATGGAATATCAAACTTCCCAGAGCTTCTTCTTGAGCACGGCATTCCCAAGTTGCTGACATCACTGCGTGGAACACACACACACACACACACACACACACACACACACACACACACACACACACACACACACACGTGGTATTTATTGCTATACAAGTGAGGACTCCCATTAAATAGGAATGCATGAGCTTAAACATCACCTCATCCCCACAATGCACATCCATCCATCGTCTGAACCCGCTTTGACCACGTAGGGTCGTGTGTGTGTGTGTGTGTGTGTGTGGGGGGGGGGGGGGGGGGGGGGGTTAAGCCTATCTCCAACAGTTACAATGCACATTCACATATAAAGTAAATGGGCCACAAACCTTAACCAGAACATATAAGTCCGACTGAAATGATCTTTACTTTCGGTGGATAAATTCAGCAGTTAAGAATAATTACAGACGTTTACAGAACAATGTTTGATGTTATTGAGAAATGACTTTTTTTATAGTTTTTTCTGTTTTTCTAACTGTGATGTGTAAAAATAGGCTCTGTTCAACCTGCAGTTTAAAAGTGTGGAATAACAACTTAGAAATCTGTATTTACGACTTTTATCTGAGTTCACTACCAGGCTTGCATGTCTGTTCCGCTATATTAAAACCACAAATGTGGTTAAATCATCTCAAAGTCTTCCCTCATCTGTAGTTTTTCTATCAACACATGCCATATTTAATTAGTCTGCTCCTGTGTCATGTGCAAAGTTATTATTTTCTTTAAACAAAATTTATGGATGAATCTGTACTTTTACTAAAAAACAGAATATTTCCATTTCTCCAGATCCGTACGCCATTGTGTCGTTCCTCCACCAGTCCCAGAGGACGGTGACCGTCCGGAACACCCTCAACCCAACCTGGGACCAGACGCTCATCTTCTATGAGGTGGAGATCTTTGGGGACCCTGAGGAAACGGCAGCCAATCCTCCCAATATAGTGGTGGAGTTCTACGACGAAGACACATACGTGAGTGTGTAGCCGAAATTCCTCAGCCTTGATTGGTGCTCACCTAAATGCTTTTGGTTGTCTTCTTGCCTCATTTAGACAAAGTATCAGGATTAGTGCCTTCATCAGAAACCTGCCGTATCCATTATTGTTATTTTATAACGAAAGCTGGATTTGAGTGTGTGTTTCGTTGTAAACATCCAGGGAGCGGATGAGTTCATGGGTCGCTGTGTGTGCCAGCCCTCCCATGGTCCATCACCCCGCCTGGCCTGGTTCCCGATCTGCAGAGGAGACCGCAGCGCCGGCGAACTGCTGGCTGCCTTTGAACTCATACGTAGGGAAAAGGTCAGAAGTGTCATCATCATCATTACTTTCATTCATCCGGTTTGTGTCTTTATATATTTTGCTTCAAATATAAACTTTTAAAATAAGTCTCTGAACACTCAACATTACAGCTGAATCACTCTTTTCTTCTTCTTCCTGATGCGTGTTGACTAAAACTCCTTTAAGGATTTTAGTACCCGTCATATAAATGTGAATATACAGTCTGGCCACCATAGACCAGTGTTGCCAACTTAGCGACTTTGTCACCATTTCTAACGACTTTTCAGACCCCCTTAACGACTTTTTTCACAAAAAAAATCGCCTAGCGACAAATCTGGCGACATTTCTGACCCCCCTCAGCTACTTTGACTACAACTATGTAGCCAACTTTACCTGCAGATTAGAGATGCATCTGAAGTGACAGGACCGTCCTTCCTTCCAGAGGATCAGAAGGAAAATGATCTGCGCATGTGTGTGCAGCATGATCACGGTACCCCCGTTGACCAATCAAACCTTTTGTGGGTTTTCACAAGTCCATTATTTGAGATAGCCACATAAAGCTCCTTCTGCCATCCTGCCACATTTCGACAGCTGAGCTCGGCTGGCACTGGCAGGCAGCGTCGCACTCACACATGGCTTCTCGCACCACTTGTGGTGCATTCAAGGAACATTGGAACTCTATGATGAGTTCAATAACGTAGCACATTTAAAACTTTTATAAAAAACAGAATTATACTGTAAGATTAAACACCTCAGGTCATTGGCAGTTTGCATGTAACGTTTCTGAATACTAAATACGGCCTGCTTCTTTTTACACAAAAGTACTAAAAACAACAAAACCAAACAAAAACAAAAGATATATATTATCTGTTAGGTCAATATATAGCACTGAATCACAACAGAAGAATACATCTCAAGGCACTTGAAAACTACAAGAGAAAATTCATTTTAATTCAATCATACATACATTCCTATCAATTTAATATTTCCGTGTTTAAGAGTTCCATTTGCTTCAGACAAAATAGAAATATTCCTTCCATTTTTATGTGCCATCTTTACTTGATGTTTTAAAGGCTGCTGTTTTGTATTCTATGGGGTTTCATTTTAATAAAATATTAAAAAATAAATTAAATAATTTTTTAAATAAAATCACGTGGGTTTTATTTGATTTACTCTACCAGACCGGTGACGTCATGACGCAAACGTGGTGATGTCATCACGCAAACCAGATGACGTCATTGCATCGTATGCAAATTAGCATGTGATGTCATCTGGTGACATCTAGCGACTTTTGGGGAGAACTTCAGCTACTTTCAGTCAAAAACAGTTGGCAACACTGCCATAGACGGAGCTCAGGATGAGGTGAGGCCTCTACAGTTGTCTTTCAAACTGTCTCTGCGCACAACTGGACAGCGCTAGGAGCAATCAGAGCAACAACAACGTGACATAATCATCAGTCAAAGGGACAGTCACCTTCAAAGAAGAAGCAGTTACATCTTTTTCTAAATAGAGGACCTCTGTCTGCCCTTGACTCAAAGAAAATCACAAGTCCAAATCGTTCAACGTTGATGCCAAAGTCGTTTCTGATGAGCGCCGTTCCTGAGATGCTGCCATCTTTGTAGTTTTCCTTGGTTGAAATTTTGGTGCGAAGTCCACCAAATGTCTCCCTACAAACATAAAACACTGCGACTGGCTGTGCCTAAGTTATTCGGACCAATGGTGGACCGGTTAGTCTAGTTTTCTAGCTTAGGCTTCCAGCGGCCGACCTCACGGATATCATAGTTTGTTTCTGTGAACTGTTGAAATCTGTTGTAGTGTTGATGGTATACTTTCAGTGTGTCTGGCAGATCGTATAATCATCATCAGCAACTTTATTTATAAAGCACTTTCCATCAGCCAGGAGGCGAACCACAGTCTGCACATGCATAAAGGATGTTTAAACATCACTGAATCAAGCAAGGGACAACAAAATGTACATTAAGACAAACAGGAGATCAAAGCAAAAGATGTTGGTAAAAGAACAAAATAAAACTGGATAAAAATGAGCTAAATTATCTAACTATATATATATATATATATATATATATATATATATATATATATATATATATATATATATAACTCACGTGCTGAGGGAACGCCACAGGAAAAAAGTGAGTCTTCATCCGACTCTTAAAGGGACTTTTTGGACTTTAGAATTTTTATGCTTGCGATTGTCCCCTCAGGCCAAAAGCATAGAGGCAGCTTTAATAGTAGGCTCGTGCACGAGGCGCGCATGCTGTACGTGCACACTCCTTAACGAAAATAACAGCTGAGACAGAGCACAGAGCTCTGAGAGTGTCCCGTGTGTGTGTGTGGGCCGGAGGACAGAAGAACACAGCAAATTAATAAAATAATGTGCCTCTGTCTCTGCAGCTGCACTTTCTCGTCAGTCGGCCGAACGTGCAGTGTTTGTGTGTGTGTGTGTGTGTGTGTGTGTGTGTGGCCCGGAGGACAGAGGACAGGAGAACACGCAGCTAATTATTTAAATAATTTGGTTCTGTACCTTTCTCTTCAGCACAGCCGACAAAGGTTTATGATGGGTCAGTCCTCCTGCATGCTCAGATCATTCCCTTCCCTTGCTTGAAAAATTGTTCCAAAATGAAAGTTGAACCCACATCTTTTTTATCTGTGAATTCAATGCCTTTCGGCGAGTCTCAAATAAAAATTTGGGCATCTTATTATTGTAAAAAAATATACAATTACTGTAAAACAAAATACTCCAAATAAACTATGTTCACATCCAGAATCGAACCCAGGTCCTCAGCAGGAGAGATAGCATGTCAGTCAGCCATGTTACTAAGTGAGCTAAAGCACCAGTAATGCCAGATGTATCTGTAACATTTATATCCTTGATGACACCTGAAACAACGTCAAACCAAAGAACGGTTCGGAGCGAAAATGGCTAGTTTGTTGCTAATTTGCAGGAAATATCTAGAAGAAAGTTCTACAGAAAGTAGCTAAGGGTCCTCAGAAATGTAGCTAGGTTCATCACTAGGCGTTAGGAACAGCGACAAAGTCGCTGAGTTGGCACTACCTCTCTCTCTGCTGCTAAAGCTACGGATAGCAAATGCTACGAGCTATGCCTGAGCGTGAAC